TATTTAAATTATATACTTTTTATAATTTATATATTAATAAAAGTTTTATTTGATATTTTATAAAAATAATATTTTTATTAATTATTTTATTATTGTTAATTTTAAAACAATTTGTTTTATAAAATTTTATTTTTTAATTTTTTTTAATTTTTACTTTTTAATAAATAATTTAAATTATATAATAAATTTAATTATTTATATATATATATCTTTAATTATTTGCCATTATTTTTGTATTAAATATAATAATTTTCCATAATTTTAATTTTTTTAAAAAAGTTTTAATAAAATAAACTTTTATTTATTAATATACTTTTAAACTTTAAAAAAAATAAAATTTTATTTTATTTTAAAAATGTAATATATTATTAAATTCTTTTTTTAAAACGAATTTATAAAATATGTTAATAAATTATAAAAAAGAATTATAAAAATTAATATATTTATTTATAAAATATATAATTAATTAAATTATTAAAATATATATTAATATTTAATTTATTTTATAATTTTAAATATTTTTAAACCTTTTTATATTTTTTATATTTATTTATATATTTATTTATAAATAATTTTTATTATAACTTTTTATTAATTTTATAATATTTTATATTAATAGTTTTTATAAATATTATTAATTGTTTTTATACCCGTAACTTTTTTATTTAATAAAATATATTAAACCCGATTTTTTATTTATTTTATTTATTTATTATTTTAATTAAAAAATTATTTTAAATAATATAAAATTATTAGGATTTTTTTATAAATATGTTTTTAATTTAAATTTTATTTTACTTTTAAAAAATTATTTTTAAAAATTATTATTAAATAATTTTAAATTCCGTTTTTAATTTTATTTAATATTTACATTTATAATAATATAATAAATAATTACTTTTATTTTTTTTAATATAAATTTTATTATATGTTAAAATTTAATAATATTTTTAAAACTTTTAATATAAATAAAAATAATTAAATTTTAAATTTTAAAATTATTTTATTTAAAAAATGTTTAAATATTATTACTTTTAAATTATTAAAATTATTCCGTAATTTTTTATAACGTTTACCGTATTTTAAATATAAATTTTAAATTTTTATTTAATATAATTTTTATTAATAAACTTTAATTTATTAATAAAAAATATATATATAAAATTTTTTATAAAATTATTATAAAATTATATAATAAATATATTTATAAGTTTAAATTTTTTAAAAAAGTTTTTATTAATTTATTTATATAATTTAATATTTAAAAGATTAATATTAACTCGGTAATAAAAAAGCTTTATTTAAGTAATAATTACATCGTTTAATTACAATTAAAAGTCACGTTATTTTAATGGTTTAAATTAAATTTGTTAAAAAATCGGGCTTACGTTTAATTATACCATAAACGTTATATAAACGCTTAGCCCGTATAATTATATTTATAAATCATAAGTGTAAGTTTTAACAAATTTTAATTTAAAATAATTTAAGCGTTTTTAACCACGTTAAAATAAGTTTTTTTAAAAATTAAACTTTATATTTACAATAATTTTATATTTAATAATAACATATAAAATAACTTTTATTTTTATAATTTAAAATTAATATTATACTTTTTTTACTTTTTTAGTTTTTTTATATATTTATATAATATTACGTTATAATATCGTAAACTTTAATATTTAAAAACATACGTAATAACATTAAAAATGTTATATTACATTTATATTTACATGTTTACATTTATAACCACATATAAAATAACTTTTTTTTTATTTAAAGTTAATAATTTAATTATTTAAACTTTTATATTATTTTACATATTTATATAACATTATATTATAATATTATAAACTTTAACGTTTAAATTAATAATATATTTTTAAAAACGTTATAACCGGTGTTATAACCGGGGTTATAATGTTATAATTAATGTTATAATTAATTTTAACATTTTAAAAAACTTTAAAACGCGTATATTTATTAATAATAAAATTAATAAATATTTTAAATTAATTAAAATTTACTTTAAACGCGTTAATATTATTATTATTAATATTATTTTTAATATTAAATAATTTAATGTAATAAAAATTACTTAAATGACTTTAAATTTAAAAAATGCGAAATTTATGAAAAAAAATAAGTTAAAAATGTAATTAATTAAAAAAAAGTATGGCAAAAAAAGTACAATAAAATTTACGTCATTAATTTAAGTTTATTAAAATAAAAGTCACGCGAAAGTTGTATAAATATTACATGTATTTTTATATAATTTTATTTACATATACATGTATTTTTTATGTTAACCCCGCATAATCCCCAGTTTTTTAAAATGCACGCTTTTTTATTAATTAAATTTATATTTAATTTAATTGCATAACTTTTATTTAATATTTATTTTATTAATTAACTTTTTAATTTTATATAATAAAAACGTTATTTTTAATTTTTTTACTTTTAAATGATTATATATAATTAAATAATAATATCATTTAAAATTAAATTAAATTAAATTAAATTAATTGAAAAACCATATAAAAAACCGTAAAAAAAGTTTTAAAATAAAATGGGAAATAAAAGTATTATTAAACGGTGTAAAATTTAACCAATAAAAAAACGCGCATTTAGTTAAAAAACGTTATATAAAAATTATAATATATGTATAAAAAAATAAACATAAAATATAAAAAAATATTAAAAAAATTATATAATAAAAAACGTATTTTTTATTTATTTTATTTTAATTATAATTATTATTTAAATAAAACTTTTTTTTAAATTAATGTTATTTATTTAAAATATTATATTAAATATTATATTAATTTTATTATAAATCTTTTATATTAAAATTATTTAAATTATATTTTATTTTTTTAAATATAAAATAATATTTAATATTATATACCATTTAAAATAAAAGTATTATTATTTAAATTATGTTTTAATTAATATTTAAGTTATAATACGTACTTTTTTAATCACGTGATATTTCCCCGCATTTTATTAACCAATTAAACTTTTAAAAACGATTTAAATAAATACGTATTTTAATACGTACTTTTATATATATTAATGCATATATTAATGTTAATATATTTATTTTTTAATTTAAATAACTTTTTTAATATAATTACTTTTTTTTTAAAACATATGTTATTAAATAACATATAAAATTAAAAAAATTATGGTATTAATTACATTATTTTAAATAATTTATTTAATTTATAAAAAGTAGTAAAATTATATATAATATTGTAAAACTTTAACCGTATCATTTATATATTAACAATTATAAAATATTTATTTACATATATAAAATTAAATTAAATGGTTATTATAATGCAATTAATACTATTATTTTTTTTATTTTACGGGTTATTTAATAATATATGTTTTAAAAAAAAGTAATTATATTAAAAAAGTTATTTAAATTAAAAAATGAGTATATATGTAAAAATATATGTATAAGTTTAAAGGTTAAAATGGTGTAAATTGATTGGCCGAAAAATACGGGGGCGTATCACGTGATTTAAAAAAAAAAATATAACTTAATTATTAATTAAAACATAACCCGGATAATAATGTTTTAATTGTAATATATAAAAAATTTATTTAATAATATAAATAATAATTAATTAATTAAAAAAATTATAATATTATTAAATTTTTTTTAATAATATTTAAATATTATTACTTTAAAAAATTATATAAAACAATTAATATAATTATTTTAATTTAATTATTTTAATAAAATTAATAATTTATTTAATAAAAATATAAAATAAATTTTATTATATTTTATAATTAAAAAAATTATTATTATATAAAAAAAAATTAATATTAAAATTTATATATTTATATTAAAAAAAATTAACTTAATATTATATATTATAATAATTATTAAATTAAATATAACTTTTATATATTTTTAATTAATATAATTTTTATTAAACTTAAAATTAAAATATTATAAAATAATAAATAAATAAATAAAATATAATTATTATATTAATTATAAAAATAAAATTATTAACTTTATTATAAATAATAAAAAAAATTATATTTATTTTTAAAGTTATTAAAAAATCAAAAATATTTTTATATAATTTTATAATTATTATATAATATAATAATTATTAAACCATTTAATTAATTTAAAAAAAATATTAATAAATTATAAATTAAATTAAAATATATAAACATTTACAATTATTAATTGCGTTAAAAAATATATAAAAATATAATACGTATAAAATATATATTATTAAAAAATTTAATTATAAATAATTTTATTAAAATATTTTCAAATATATTTTTTATAAATTTTAAAAAATAAATAAAATTAATAAATGTTAAAAATAAATTAAAAAAGAAATTTTTTTAAAATTTAATTAATAAAATTAAATAAATTTTTTAAAATTTTATAAATTTATTTAACGGTAATATTTAAAATATATTTTAATATATTTTAATATATAATTATTTATTACATATTATTTAAACATTTAAATTTATTTTAAATATTTGTAAAAATAAAAATAATAATGTTTTATTTTTATTAATTAATTTAATAAATCAATTTATTTAACATTTTACAGCTTTAACGCTTAAATTAATTTAAACCAAAATTCGAAAAACACTTAACTCGTAACCCACAAATACAAACACATAAACCATGCGTTTTGTAGCGCCTATGGCGCAAGCGGGCTTCGCCCGCTTCTCAAATTCTGGTCTGAGCTACTGAGATAAAATTACACGCATTTCACACGCTTTTACAATCTTTACAACATACAATCAAATCATCAATAATTACATCAATATTGCCTCAATTATTACTTAACTGTGTGTATCGGTTGTTTAACAACACATAAGCCATGCCTTGCGTGGCGCTTGTAGCGCCGGAGCAGGCGAAGCCCGCTTCCACGAGATTTAGGTCTAAAGTCACCTGAGATAAAAAAATATTACACTTGTAACTTATAAATATAAGCATACGGACTATGTGTTATATGGCGCTAATGGCGTAAACGGGCGTAAGACTGTTAATTTCTCAAATTCTAGTCTAAAGTTACTGAAATAACATTTAAGGCGTTCTTTTTCCTTTTTCGTTAACCTTATCGCACTACTTACTGCTGAACCTGAGCTAACTTGCTCCGAATTGGAAAGTTCTTGTCAGCATCTTTTAAGCCAGTTTCAAATGCAAATAACAATTTCACATCCTTTTCGAAGAGAAGGCAATGAGTGGAACCGCCGTGGTGAAACATCCCAATCTCCTCTCCTTTCTCGACTTCAACTCCCTCCTCCGTAAGCCCAACCTGTTTTTCTAGCCTCTTGAATTTCGCTCCGATCTCACATGTAGATACGTCAGCCATACCCACGTAGACAGCGCCGACCAAACCAGCGGGACCTTCTGTATCAATGAAGTACACGGCACGTGTTGCAACGTGAGTGATGTAACCTTGGGATAAGTCAGGTCCGGCGGGATCAGGCTTGTGGTCAGGGTTGTCATCGGGGTTATAGAAGCCATTAATGGGTGGTTCGGAAAATAGAGTCCCATCAATGACTTTAGCATATACAACCTTTCCTTTCACCGGCGAGTGCCAGCGATGGTAAGAAGTAGCACTGAGGAAAGCCTGATAGACGGTACCGCCGACGAACTTGTCCACAGTGTCGTCTGGGAATTCCGAGTCGTCTGGTCCCACCACCATCTCTTTCACCGAATACGGTTGTCCTTTCAACCAAAAGCTATCTAGCTTATTCACATTCCTCTGCATGGAAAATATTTTGGACTCGCACGAGGTCACTACCCAATATTCATCTTCCTTTTCCTCAACAGGTCGGTCCACATCCATGTTCCTAAAGCTTCTAGTGAAGAAGTCATCCCATGAAGCAAATCCGTAGTGGGGGTCTGTCTTGTCGCATTTGAAGAGTACGTCAAATGGTATAGGATCTGACTCCGTCGTGGGGTTGCTATCCTCCGTAAGGACTTTTAGTGCCTGTTCGCTGAACCACCCATTGGGCTCCTTAGTCAGAACCAAATCCCTGGAAACTTCGGTCACAAGGATATTCGTCTTCCAGGTGTTAAGGATGTTCTTGAATTTCTCGTTCACATCTGCTTTGAGAAAGAACGCATACCCACTAGGGGTAGCCATGGGCCAATCTAGGATGGCGTTGAACGGGAAGCCAATCAAGCCATTGTCGTAACCATCCTGGCTCCACTCTGGAGCAACCTTGGTCATGATGCAGCTCATTATTCTAAGCATATGTCGATAGCCGCGAATCGTTTTAGTCCCTTTCGGATCGCGGTTATAAGGAGGCTTATTGGGAACCTCATCAAACATAGCCGACGCCAACATACGATGCTCCACAGTACTTTCAATCAAATCCTGGAGCTCTTTGACTTCCGGAGGATAAAACGAACCACCGGGCCTGCCGCGATAAGGTGTTTTAGGAGCATCGTCTACTTTCTTGACGAGTTTTCTGACCCAGTCAAGCATGACATTAGAGTTGGGGGGCAACCAACCGCCAACGCTGCCAATGCTCTTTGTAGTCGGAATCGTGGCTGCCATGGTTGGGTAGTAGTTGAATCGTTAAAGAGTAGAAGTTATATCTGACGATCTAGTTGAATAGACAGTGGTGAATGATTCTTGGAGGTCAGTAGTGTATGGTGAAAACTGTCTGGGACTGCCATTTTTTGAAGTGCGTATAGGCTCAAATTTATACCCAGCGACCTTACTAAACTTGCTTTCCTATACGGGTCATCCTTTCGTTCGCACACCGTATCATACACTATTCGAAGCGGTCAATCCGCAGGCGTAACGCCAATAGTGAGACGCAGGAAGCTGAATGAGACCGGGAAAAACAGGTTTGATGTGCGTTGTTGTACGACTTCCATAGATGAATCCAGTGTCTTGACGTTGGCGGAGTCGGGCATGTAAAAGGATGCATATGCATTAAATGATCGACAATAAAGGTATTGTTGATGATACCTATAGCTATCAACCAGTTAATTTCACTCCTATAGCGATATCCCGAAATGGCTCTTGCTCTGATCGATGTATGGCATAGGTAGTGTAAGACATTAATATCAATACTATACGATGGTTATAATTACTCGTTCGAGGCGTCTATATCTTTCAATATCAACTAACAATCTTTTGAATGTAACCCATCTTCACGTACCTGAACCCATCTGTGTAACCAAACTTTGTCCCTTTCTGTCTATGATCTATGGTCCGATTACAGCTGAAATACTCCAAAAAAAATTATGCTGTGTCAGGATAGTTAAGCCTCTCCAGAATGCGCCTCACTTCACGGCAAAGGACTGCGTTAGGATTGGTTGTGCAATATCCGTTCATTTAGCATCTCCAACGGATCACTCTTCTATCTACCAGGGATATTGAGATCCAGCTTGCCACAATGATGTTGTTTGACAATAACGGCTCCTGTGCTACCAATATTATGCCCATGCATATCGTAGTGCGATTCGATTCCCGGATCCCCGCGACGCCCAATCGTGGCGTAGGGTGATCCGCAGTGGTACAAAAATGCAATGTCAGTTCGGGGATGAGGGGAAGCTGATACCCGTGTAAGCTCTGACGTAAGTGAATGAAATATGTTGCTAGTCACGATGCCTTCGCAAACGGCTTACTACATGGTAGTGTGGACACTCGTGGGCGAACTTATGTCTCTTCAATACCGTGGAGCAAATCGAGATCAACCTAAGTCTCCAAAAAAAAAAAGAGGAGTATGCGAGTCTAGATCGGGAAGATCCTATGCCGTATACGTACGAGGCTAAATTAAAAACATGATCGGTTGCATTAGTGAACAAGAAGCAAAAACACGGAAGTGTATGTCTTACTGCCCGAACTAGTGACAACGCCATGATAATCCATCATCTATTTCACCTTAGCTCCACAGTATAGTCAGCCACTGACATGTAATGTGCCAAACTAAGGGAAAATAGACAAGCCTCCCAGAAACAACCTGTCAGAAACAATCGGGTAGGATAATGGGACTTCGTCTGCTTGTTCGCCGGTCTCGATGGATCTAAGGAGCAGTGTGCAGTCTATTTTAACAAAGTGAATAGTTGAGTCATACAATAAAGTCAGAGACCAATATACCTAAATAAACCCTCTTCTACATCCGAATATACTAAAACATGTATTTATGGACTAGTATTACACTCTACCTTGGCTTGTTTGCCAGCGCGCAGCATAACGCGAATGACTCTACCGGTTTCAATGATGTTAAGGTTTCCTCTAATAAAGTCCCAGTATGTTTATTGCCTATCATAAGTAATTGGAATACTACTTTTCTATTATATTTCAACTTTTCTAAGATCGTAAGGCTGACAACCTCGGTTTTTTCTACTAGGCAGGAGTATGTGGTGATACTGCCTCATACGCCGGCTACGTAGAATTTTTGCCTAATTCTATGAAGGGGATTTCACACGACTATCCTATCAATACATTCTTCTGGTACTTTAAGTCCCAGAATGATCCCCAAAATTCTCCTCTGGTTATATGGATGAATGGGGGACCAGGTGCTTCGTCTCTGTATGGCCTTTTCACAGAGAACGGTCCTTGTCACATCAACCGTGATCTTGCGCCGGAAGTAAACCCCTGGTCTTGGAATAGACACTACAATGTACTTTATGTCGATCAACCGGTCCAAACAGGCTTTAGTTATGATGTCCGTACCAGCGGCCTCCTTGATCTTGAGACTGGCAACATAGTCCTCTCGGATCCCGATGATCCAGGAAACAATACTTTTATCCCGGGTAACTTCAGCAGTCAAAATGTCAAGTCGACTGCAAATACCACTGAAATAGCGGCTATACATTTCTGGAACTTTCTTCAGTCGTGGACAAAGAATTTCACCGAGTACAACACCAGCGACAATTCGATTAGTATCTGGACGGAATCCTACGGTGGACGGTATGGGCCAAGCTTCTCTGCCTTCATCCAAGAGCAAAACCATCGGATTCAGAGCGGCTCTTTGACTGAGGCTGAGACTCTTAACCTCACAATACTTGGCATCGTAAATGGATGTATTGATCTGTTCGTTCAAGAAACGGCCGGCCTAGACTTTGCCCATGACGCGAATCCTTATAATATTTCCGGTATTACCGACGAGGAATATTTGGGTGCATTCGATGCATACTGGCGAGCAGGAGGTTGCCAAGACCAAATCGAAGACTGTCTTAGTCTCGCGAAAGATTTGGACCCAGACATGTATGGCAACAATGCCGAAGTCAATAAAGTATGCGAGGATGCAAGCGATTTCTGCCAAAATAATGTGGAGGGCCCTTATTTATATCGTAAGAAGTCGGCATTTTATGACATTGCACATTGCTACTTGGACGCGTTCCCCGGAAATGAATATTTGGACTACCTTGCCAACCATGATATACTTGAAAAGCTGGGTGTACATGTCAACTACACTGATATATCGAATATCGTCGGAAAGGCATTCAACGCTACAGGAGACTACACGAGGAGGGATCCAAAGGGCTACCTCGAAGATATCGGTACGCTCCTAGACTCAGGTATACAAGTAGCCATAATGAATGGCGATCGAGATTATGCTTGTAACTGGATCGGTGGCGAACGCGTTAGTCTTAACGTAAGCTACGGGCAGAGCGACAAATTCAAGAATTCTGGGTACGCCGACGTGATTATACCCGGTTCCACGCCGGTAGGACAAGTACGCCAACATAACTTGTTCTCCTTCACCCGTGTCTACCAGTCTGGTCATATGGTCCCCGCATATCAACCGGAAGTGGCCTACGCAATTATGAGCCGAGCCATGCAACAGAGGGACCTCGCTACGGGTCGTATCATCGTAACTGAGGATTACTCGACGAGCGGCTCTCCTAACTCGACCGTTATCCTTGAAGCGCCTCCCGTTCCTTCAGTCACATGCTACTTGAGGGGGATGGGCGCCACATGTGCGGATAACCAGATCCAGGCCATAAAAGACGGGAGTGCTAGCATAGACAATGGCGTAATAGTATCACCAACCCCTTCACCAGCTCTGTGTCCTGACCTTCCTAACAGCTTCGGCACTGTGAGGATGGGAGCAAAAGGCGAGGATACATCCTTGCTGGGACACGAAGAACTTTGAACAAAGCGAAGACTGGACTACTGATAGCTAGAAGTTCTGTCCTAGATGCCTCAGAGGTCCGGGGATTTAACAGGCAAGGAAATGAAAGGTAAGACCAAAGGAATTAAGATAATTGTTGCTGAAGTCTATATACATCCTGTTAGGGATAAATGCAAGGCTATCAACTAACCCTACAGGGTTAGGAATGCTACCCTATTTATACACTCATTAGATAGCTAGCTAGAACTTACTTTCCTAGACATACAATATACTATTGAAATACTCATACAATACCCCCACTCTTCAGTGACCTCTGACTGCCTCTGATACGGCGCGTTGCGCCGTTGCCCCTTACTGGTAACTTGTAAGCCTCTGTGATGCCTACCACAGCAGTCAACACGGTTGTTCAATATCCCGTACGAACCGTAACACCTCTTCTGCCCCTAAGGTAGTTGATACAAATAGATGGTTACATATTGAACGATTTAGATCTATAAAAAGGTTAAGGTCGCTCTTAGTGAAAGGGGCTACCCCTATTTTTAGATGTACATGTTCACGGGTACTTAGGGAAGTACCTAAACTCTAAGAGGAGCGGGTCCGGACTGCTATGTACACATTGTAGCTTTGGTACATGGCTCTCGCGAATTGATGGTGGGGCAGACAATCGACATCATGTACCCAAGTACCTAAGGCAACATGTAGCATCAAAGCATAAGGTTAACTTCCAATTATTTACCAACTTTTGTAACTTCTGCAACTTTTGCATCATGACCTCTCGTTTCACATCCCAAAATAAAACCACACAACAGCGTCTGTCAACCCATACCGTTGGCTTAGTCGCTCTGTCCGACTTCCGCAAACGACGCGCCGAAGTCATCGAGCAGCAGGAGCGCGAGGCACGAGATGCCATCGCTACTGGTACACCTCTAGAGACACCTGAACGTTCGCGCACCGGCACCCCAGACGACAACACCGACATCTCGAATCCCCGAAAGAAAAAGAAGAAGGAGAAGAAGGTCGCCAAAGGACGTGGCACTAAGCTCTCATTTGCCGATGACGATGATGAGAATGAAGGCGACGAGAATAGTGGCCGAGGAGGAGACGAGCCTAAAGATGGGGAAGAGTCCGGAGAGAAGAAACTCAAATTCAAGGCCAACTCATCAGTATCTGTTGTTCCGCGCGCGGTGACTAAAGCTGCTCTCCGTCGTGAAGCGGCTGAAAGAGAAACCTTACGGCGAGAGTTTTTAATGCGACAGGAGGCTGTAAAACTGACCGAGATTGCGATACCATTTGTGTTCTACGATGGGACTGATATCCCGGGAGGCGTTGTACGCGTTAAGAAGGGTGACTTCATATGGGTATTCCTGGATAAGAGCAGAAAGGTTGGCGCTGACCTCGGCGTTGGTGAAAAGGCCAATGCCAGGAGAGAATGGGCACGTGTTGGAGTTGACGATCTTATGATGGTTCGAGGGAACATTATTGTCCCCCACGTAAGTTTTTCTATCATTCTTATTACTTTCACTTGATATTCCTAGAATACAAGTATTTAGATGGTATAGACCGCTAATTAATCTGTAGCACTACGACTTCCTCTTCTTCATCATGAACAAAACTGCTGGTCCCACTGACAAGCTCCTCTTCGACTATGTGTCCGAAGTCTCGGAGTCAGCACTTCCTAAGCGTCCCGCAGATGAACAAGCCGCTAAGTCGGCCAACACGCAGCCGGTAGTAAGTAGTCTGGAGGGGGCTTCAGACGACCCAACCTTCACTAAGGTTGTCGACCGGAGATGGTATGAGCGGAATAAACACATCTATCCCGCCAGTGTCTGGCAGGAGTTCGACCCGGAGAAGGACTATCAGAAGGAAGTAAGGCGCGACCTCGGCGGAAACGCTTTCTTTTATTCCTGAGTATAGCGCAAGCGTTGCTAACTGATTGGTGACTTGATTCCACTTCTCTCTGCGCGGTGCTTTGGGTCAAGGCTGAGGTGTATTTCTTGGTCTACTTAATATCGCTTGTTAGGCGGGCTGGATTGCGGTTGATTGCTGGAGTCCACTTACGGAACGAAAATGACTAGCCAGTTAGCCAGTTAGCCAGCGAATGATCAGCCAGGTTATTCCCAGAAACCACCATCCAGGCCAGAATAGGAGTAGGCACAGCGAGTTGCCAGAAGAGCCAAGCATCAACGTGAAGAGCTCGAAAACAATCTTCTTCCTCAGACGCTGGACAGACTTCGTCTTCCATATCGTTCTTCCCAGGATCGCCGTGTAGTATCGAAAAAGCTTTGAAGTCGAATATACTTGGCTAGCGAAAATTCGGAGTACCTGGGAGAGTTGCCAGGCGAACCAGCTGACTTTGATATGAAGAGATAGGGATGCTGCAGCGAGGACTCGCTGGCATCGGAGAATGACCACTAGAGTGGGCACAAATATTGTGATTATGCTAGAACTCGGGTTGGTCACTGCTCGGGGCTCCTTGGTTGGTGCGGCGATGATGGCGACCTTGGAGAGTTCCATTATGGCGGTTATTCCATCAGACTCCCGGCAGGCCACGCATCTATGCTGGTTCCAACGAGCCCAATGAACAAATTCTCAATATCAGAGCATCAGCTGTCTAAATATGATGCAGCGGCTCAAGGAATGTATGTCTCGCATAAGGTCAAACCGGGGATGCAGAAGAAAGGGAATACGATGCGATGCAACCAACAGGCAACCACATGTAAATACCTTTACCAAACACTTGGATTAGGAACAGGTTCTAGATGCTGGTTTCTATTCGGCGTATCGTGCGGTCAACACCCATCACGAGACTCTACTCAACTTGTATAACCGTAACGGGGGGGGCCCCCCCCCCCCCCCCCCCGCGGGGCGGGGATGAAAAAGGGGTGCGGGTGTACGTGTAATATATATTTTAAGAAAAAAAAAATAGATTTAGAATAATAAAAGAACAC